CCCCATTTTAAAACTTTAAATAATAAAAAAATGGTTTGTCGGCGAATGTAATGCGCATCAATGATATGAGGAATTTATTGAATCTTATTTTATACAACAATAGATTTGTATATAAACTATCAATTAATGGTATGATAATTTTATTTAAATTTAGATACCATATTTTATACAACAATGGATTTATACATAAAGTAGCAGAACATAGAATTAACCTATTAGTGGGCTATTGTCATGTGAAACAATCATTGTTAATTAGCACTACCGTATATATGGTACCTATCGTAAAATATGAACATGAAATAAATTGTAACATTTCTATCTAGCTAACAGTTTATACAATCAGTGATTAATAGTAAACATCTTTATTCACTAATGTTTTCATCACTGGAATCCTCGCAGCTCTCTTCGTCAGAAGCAGATTCATTTCTTCTTTCCTCATCATCGTCATCGTCACTGCCATTCAATGAATTTGCAATGCAGCATTTCTTGAAAGATTTCACAATCATTGGTACTTCAATGCTTTTCCAGGCAGCAGAAACCCAGTGTGCAACAATGTGCGGTGCAGCACGCTTAATTTTTCCTGTCGGGGTCAATACACGGTTTGGCTCACAAAACCATTTTTCGTACTCCGCCTTAACGTACCCCTTAAAAGGTTTATTTATACTAACATCCAGGGGTTGTAACACAGACGTCATCCCTCCAGGAATGATAACAAGATCACTGCCTAGGCTGTGCATCTTCTTTTTTACGTTGTCGGTGAGATGACCACGAAATGCGTCCAGACAAAGCATTGATGGTGTATTAGAGAGCCCACCGGGACGGCGTTTCCATACATTTCGGAGCCAATCAAGCATTAATGATTCCATCATCTACCCCTTCTCTTGGTTTCAAATCAGGACATCATCTGGAAACAGCTTTTCATTCTTAAGGGTTTTAGGGCATGTTTTCCGTTTGAAGATTGGAGTGGGAAGTTTGCACCCGTCTGCTGTTATTGCCAGCATCACTGTTACGCGTTGTTTTTCACATCCCGAAGTTTTGATGATAACTTCCTTAGTCCCCTTCTCCGTAATGGCGTGTTAATTACGAGGCATATCAAACCAAATTGGCCGTCTCGTCAGCGTTGCCAATTTGCCCCATTGAAAAATTCTATTTTCCTTCCGAAGTGTGATGACATACCGCTGAAATGTTAGTAGTTTTCCCTCAAAATCTGCAGGAAGCTTATGGCATATTGTTGTACGGCGTCTTAGAGATAAACCCATTCGCTTCATAAACCGATCAACCCATCAACGTCTAGCCTTAAACTCTTGTTTCGGTATTCAAAGAACTTCAACCTCCTCTTTTGCTTTATTTCTTATGGTGTCACTAGTCACAGGTTATCCATTCTTCCTCCTTTCACGTACAAATTCCAAAACTTTTTCTTGAATTTTAGGGTGTCTTCCTTTGCGAGGGCCAGTGAATTTCTTTCTACTAGCTTTAGTTGCAAACAGTGCCAATTTCTGTTGCCGCCACAACCGAACATTGCTCTCAGCTACGTTGAACTCTCTCCCTGCCTTTCTATTGCCATTTTTTTTTCAGCATAAAGAATTACTTTACGTTTGAAAGTAGCGTCATATGACATTCTTCTCTGTTTGCCCTCCATTTCGTGATTACGTACTCTGCAGTTTGTATCCTCTATGCAATAATGTGTCAACGATAAATGTAATCGAGAAATTTGGTTGACGTCATCGGCGAACTTTGCACTCGAATCTAATGCGCACCCCAATTTTGAATACTACATTTGGCCAAAAACGATGCGCATTAGATTCGCGTAAATACGGTAAATTTCTTAAAATATAAGGACTTTTAAAGAAGCAGATGGAATATAGAAAAAGGACTTTGACAGCAATTGAAAAAGTTTTGAGTTTAATGGAAATCTGAATATTACCTCTGTTTTAACAATTAAATAGATGTTAGTTTCAAAACTGCAATGAAGCCATGTAAAGTTAATGAATTTTTCCTAGATTAAGCTGGTTTGTTTTACAAGTATTAAAAGGAAGTACAGCTGACAAACATGTCTCCATTTCAGTCCTTCAATTGGCACATTTATCAGCTATAATTTTCTATGGGAATTTCTAATGATTGGAGAAAAGTAAACCTTTAATTAACTGAAAGATTTATTTCTCAAACTTTTTTATTCTCTTGTCTTTTAATAATTTCAAGACTTGTTAGAAACTGTACAGTATTAAAAAAGCAGCATTTACATATTATCCTGTCCACTGTGAAAGTTGGTACCATCTAACCATGAAGTTGGTGAAGATCTCGCAAAATTCTGAAGAAACTGTTGCCTCTTTAATAAACAATCAGTGTATAACACACTTGATAAAAAGGCTTTTGTTGAAGTCTATTATTTTATTTGGCTCTTCTATTTGACCAGAAGTTCTGTTTAAACCACTAGGAGAACAAGCTAGACAATTGTTTCAATCTAATGCGGTTTGGCCATATTCAGCTGATGGTTACTTTCAGATACAAGAATGTTTTAAATGATGCAAATATTTACAATTTGACATTTTTAAGTTTTAAAAAAATCAATTTTATAAAAATTATGAGGAACTTTTTATTTTAAACCTTCCTATGGTCCCTATTTCCAAAAATTTTATATTCTGATAAAAAAATAAAGTAAAAATATATTTTAGGGTGTCTCTTCACAAAAATTTGTGATTGGCCAGCGAGGCACAATTTCAAGATGGTCGCTACACAAAACCAAAATAACAAGTCAAAGATTTGCCCGAACTCGGTGTCCTTGTACATATCAATATATTTTCACGTAAAAAAAAATATCAGAGAATTGTACAAATTCGGCACTGCACACTCTCTTGACTTTGTACATGTACACACAAAATTCCTTAACAGCATCTTCAAACCATGTTCCCTTTCTAATGGAACGCTTTATATGGTGAGCATTTGAATCGTTCTTGCAGCAAACCCATTCAAAGCCATCTGAATGATTTTTATGTTTGACCATGCACATTTCCTTCATACAAACAGGGCATTTATAATGGCTACTGCGTAAACCTTCATTTATACACCATTCAATTACTGCTTTTTTTCCCTTTCATTCCAAATCATACAGAAACTTCAAATTAATCTTCTCACATACAGCCATTTTACCGTATAAAGAACAAAAAAAGCAATGTACTTCCTAACCAACATCCAACATATAAATAAGCCCTTACAAATATTTTCCCATTAGTCAAATTCACTGCAATCCCACAACCAATCTTGTCATAACAGGGTTTCCATAATTTCAAATACTCTTATCATAAATGAAACAACAACTTGGCGATAATCCAAGGGGCACTCTAAAATACAGACTAACCCAAAGTAAAATACAAAACCTGCGACAGAAATATTAAAAAGTTTCGGAGAACTTTTATTGTAAACCTAGGGGTTATATATAAAACTGAAGAAAGTAATATTCTTATGTATCTAAAACTAAAATATTGGCTTCAGAAAAGGTCTCTGATGTTAATTAATTAAATAATATGAAAAGTTTGAATTCACATGCAAAGTGTTGTAAAGTTTTGAGCAGTAACAAAATTTTAGGGAAATCTTAATTTTTAATACAGAATGCAAATGGTAAGAGTCCATTACAAAACTAGTCTTTAAGTGAAAGAATCTAATCTACACATTCTTTTGAACAAGAAGAAAAATTAAAGTGGAATGGTACTCTTCTGTTATCGGGGGACCGGATTCAGAAATGTATGTATGCATGTGCATATATGTATGTGTGTTCAGATGTTAAAAACATCAGAACAAAAGGGGAAAAGTATCAGTTTTACAATAATCACCAGTTATAAATCAGTTTCATAATTTGGTTAATCTTTGGATTATGGTAACTTGGTGATATTTTGGCGACCAACCCTGCTATAGCAACCTGCTAGTTTTTTCCGACATTTTGTTTTCACGAAGTAAAGGCATGTTTTTTTTTTTTTTACTCAACAATTTTTTCCAACAATCTGCTAGCTGAATTATGCTTATGTTAGTACCTTTATGGAACAAAAGTGCTTAATCATGACGAAGATTAGGTGTGAAATTGGGAGAAAGTGCAGAATCGCCCACTGCTTGCCAGGTTTTTAAGAATTGCACATACACAGTATCATCCATGTACATGTCGACCTATTTTCACTTAAAAAAAATCCCAGAATTGCACAAAAATTGCATTGCGCACACTCTTGACTTTATCCATGTACACTGATAAAGTCCTAGCTAGTAACCTTTATCGCCTTACCAAAATGTCGGCAAACTACCTGTTACCATATTCCAATGATTAGCCCATAATTTTTAAAAAACTGATATTTTAGATTTTAAGGTGATAAAGCATCAATATTTGCATCATTTAAAAGATTTTTATAATTGGAAATATATATCTATGACCAGCATTTGTGAAATAAAGGCACTGGTTAAGAAATTTTTTTTTTTTTTTGAATATAAAAAGGAATTTATTTTTACTTTAACAGTCATTTATTATACTGACATTCCAACATTATATGAATAAAGCTGATTAGATTCCCAGTTTTTTTTAAAATCTTATTTATTATTTTATTTTATAAAATATATATTTCAGATTAAAAAAAGCTAATATTCAGGTAAAAAAATTGGTTTGTTTTGGTACATGCGATTACGGCAAAGCCTCGAGTGCTATCTGCCTAAGGGGAGGGATGCCTTTGTGGCTCGTATGCACCCACACATGGAGAAAACCACAAAGCGCCCATGCAGCCACCCTGTTCATAAGATTCGAACCTCGGACTGAGCTGCCAGGGTTCAGCGACTTTACTGATCGGCCTCAGATAAAAAGTAAAAAGATATTTCAGATTTAATTGTATATATCATGTCTTTTACTTAATTGCTTAAAATAAGAATTTTAATAGCTGTACAATTTATTTACAGCAGAGTATATTCAGAATGATATTATATTTTATATGCCAGCAATAAAATCTCTAAAAAACATTCACTGCAATAAATTTATAGTATTGAATATACAATTTTTATTTCATACACAGTGTATTATTAGTACTGTATACTCCCTATAACATGAAACAACCTGAAAAATGAAATTCTGACTGCGTATTATAAAAAAAATTATACATAAACCTCGTGAAGGAAAGACCGAGTTGGATTACAGTGTTTATAAAATTTCCGTTCTATGTACATTTTAAACACAGTTCTCTTTTATTTACATGTAACTCTGAATATTCCCATTACATAATCCAGTTGTATACAAATACGATTTATTTTTAAAGTAAAAACAATTCTTACGAAATAAATTTAAAATCTTTATTTCAGCAGACAAGTTTTTCTTTCAGTAAAAGTTTTCAAAACAAAACAACGTACAAAACTACTAACTGGACCTAATGTTAGAGCAACTGCATTTTCTTCAAAAAATTCATGAAGATTATATAATTTCACATGAATAATATCTTAGAGTAAGTTTTAGACAAATCTAGAACTTATAGCGATGATCTTTGAGAATTCTCCTCGTCCTCTAAGAAATGATGGAATTGGCACTAAAACTCTGGTGCCTAAGGGATTTCCATGATCATCAATCAGAACTATATTGTTTGAGTCAAATTTAGGTATCATGTGCTTTTGCTCTTTCTTTACACCAACAATAAAAGCCTTTTTCTTAAGTCCCTTAATAGCGACCAATACTTTATCGCCGACAGTTCCAATAGCATATCTTTTAGCCTTTTTATATATATGAATACAACGAGGAGGTTTACCTTCTAGCATGGCTTGCTTTCCAATGTTGCTGTTATCTACAACACGTAACCTCGTTAATTTACGTATGTGACCTAAAACAGGCGTCATACTGAAAGATCTACTAACATTTAAAGGCAAAGAATTTTTTGCAAAACCAAGCAACTTTGATAAAGCAGTAAAACTCATTATAGCTCCAAAGAATGCAATAGATTATGCAAACACAATTATAATGCTTTTGGTTCACCTTGTATTTGAACGTTCTGTCCGAAAGTATGTGTTAGAAGTTTTTATTTTTCTTTCATAACTACAGTTCTCTTTTATTTATATGTAACTCTGAATATTCTCATTACATAATTTTGATTATGTAATGGGAAAGAAGCATCAGTTGTATACAAATACGATTTATTTTTAAAGTAAAAACAATTATTACCAAATAAAGTAAATTAAAAATTATTTCCAGCCTCAGTTGTTATTTTTCTTTCATAGTTTGTCACCGTAAAAGTGGCAACCATGTGAACTTTGTTGTAGTTCTACGGATTTTGAAAATAAATATGATGCTTTGGAATATTATTTAAAGTTTATTAGGAGAAAGGAGAACGTTTAGTTCTTGCAAATCTCGAACAATTTTGGTGACGACGGAAGTGAAACAAGTCAAGGTAATTTAATTGGTTTTATCAAATTTAATTTTATTTGACGACTTTATATTGGATTTACTTTTATTGAAATGGAATCGTTAATTGAGAAACAAAAGCCTTTCAGAGCGTCTTTTACGAGAACAAATAATGCAATTTTGCAAGAATTGGAGGGTTTTCTTCCGGAGAGGATCCGTTGGCGGCGAAGCGTATTTACTCGCCAAGCTCGTCAACGGCTAATCGGCCATGAGTTTAGCGGTGTACAGTTACGTTACAAGATATTTAAAAAGATTAACCGTAATACAAACCGTAAACTGAAAATCGTTAATAGCAATGAAAGGACTGGATATTATGTTCCCATAGATCCCCTAACTCCATATTCCCTCTGGCTTGCAGTATGCCATTTCCTGTTTGTAATGAAAAACAGCCTGTTAACGAATTTCCGCGAAATGCGTTCATCGTAATTGACTGTTCATTAGCTATTTTGGTGATACATACATGTCTTCTCCATTTAAAACAGAACCAGATCATATTTGCAGATCACAGCAAATAATGAGTCTTTCATGGCAAAGTTATCAATTTGTTGAAAAATAACTTAGTGAAATTCATATCTTTCTTTAAATATGCTTTAAGAATATAAAATTAGAAAATATTCCTGTTTTTAACAGTGCAGTTTCTTGGGAAATTGTCAAAACACAAGAGAAACAAAAAGGCACTTTTACTACTTGTACCTTCATTACATAATTTCAAAATGCTTTCCAAAGTATGAGTGAAAATAAATTCTCATCACATAAATGAAATAAACAATGTTTTCATTGAAATATAAAACTATTGCAACTGTTTGACTAGGTAAAAAATAAATTTTGTATAGGAATAAATTATATTCTGCTCTGACTTACTTATGCATGCATAAATAAGTGTGTGCTTATGTGTGCATGTGTCATAAAATAAAAACTAACATATCCACTATTTTTATTAACAATCATGCTAACCTCAGAAACAGTAAGGGCAGAATTTAACTTTTTTGCATGTAACTCTAACAAGCATACTATGATTCATTACTTTCCAACTGATGTTCTGTGACTGAATTCTGGTAGTTTGATTTAGGTCCTAATCTAAAAAAAGACAGCTAATTGCATGGGTGTTTTCACGGTGCTTCAATATGTTACAGGAATGCAAAGCCAAAAATCCCTTATAAAGTTCTCCTCAAAGGCACACCTTCTCTTACGCAGATATTTTTTGCATGCTTTGACATAATTAAAACACACCAAACCAAACGGATACATGCCACCAGCAATTTTAAACTCAAAATATTCCTTAACTAACCCTCAAACCCTAACCTGATTTCGGTTATTGTTATTGGAGAGCTATGCTGAGTGATCAGTGAATAAGAAAAAAATTTCATTGAAAAATCATGTAGGAATAGTTTTGTATAAATTATCATGTAAGTGTGATATTGCATATATTTATTATATGATTACTTAATTTTTTTGTTATTAATTATTTTTATTTTTTTCTTATTACGTGCTCCGCCCTTAGGCACTCCACGGAAAGGGAGGGATGCCCTGTAGAGGTCTTTTTAAGGGAAACTGGCTCGTATCCATGTTACACATGGGGAAAATCACGGAAAACGCGCATGCAGCCAGCCCGTTCGCCGGGACTTGAACCCAGGATCGAAGTACCAGTGTTCAGCAGCTTTTACTGCTCGGCCGCTGGTGGGCTCATTAATTATTATTAATAATATATTTAGGCACAGTATTTCTTTTAAATTCATCTTCTGATTTTAAATCTATTTTGAATTTTCAAATCATAATTTTATCAAATAAGTTACTGAAAATGTAGTCACAATCTCACTCTATCAAATCCGAAAGTTGAGTTCAAGGATGGACAAACTATAGCCAGTGAACAACTACCTGTTTAAAGCTTCTATATATATCTATATAGATATTCTATTCAGCAAATTATCAAAATATATTTAGGATTTTACTATGCAATACATAATGTATATTGTAAATATATATTCATTTTTGTTTTGGCTATACAATGTATACTGTATTTGTATAAATAAAACGTAAAGGAATATCACGTGATTTGCGCATAACATGAGTTCACATAGATATCTGTTATCTCACTTCATCGACATGTATACTGTGCTCATCGACTTTGTTACATCATGAACACAGATAAGTATAACAAGATTTAGATCTCCCACTGAAAATTCCCCAGAAAGCGAGAATTACTGATAATGTAACGAAATGAAGAAAGGTAATCTTTTTTTTTTTTTTTGAATGTGGAAATTTTAACTATTTTCAAGTGGTCTGTTTAAATTTCCATTGAACATTAAACCTGTGCTTGATGTAACCATGAGGCTTGGGAATAGTATTCAATCTTGTTGATGTACCCACAGGGAATTACGAGATTTACTTAAGCCCTTAAAATCTGAATACTTGCATGTGCTGTATTACACAAAACAAAAGTAAGATGGCTTAGTGCAAGATGTGTTTTCGAGAAAGTTTGGCAACTGATTAACGAAATTGTGCCATTCTTCAATGAGAAACATTGTTCTGTAAAGTGTGAAATTTTAAAATATATAGCATCAATTAATTTAGAAAGCAATCACAAAAAATCAGAGTCATATTTGCAAATTTTCACAGGACTAGTAAGTGATTAGTCACAGGATTTAATTTATATTGATACAGCATGGTTTTCAACTTAGCATTTTTCACATTTCTTTGTCATATGAACAATTTAAATGTCAAAATGCAATAGTTATGAAGATAGCCTGAAAAAGAAACCTGCATTTTGAGTCTGATTTTGAGTTTAAACACAGATTTCAATGCAATTCAAATGTAACTAGAAATTTTCAGCATGCCTTGCAATATAACTATGAAGCTATGAAGCCGTGAGACCACATTTGCAACTTGAAGTAATTTAGTTACAGTCTAACAATCACTTGAAGCAGTTGTTTCTCAGTGTTCCAAAATTACAGTTGTTCAAATCATTATATAACTACATATACATGGGAATAACAAAAAGTAGTAAAATTTATCACAGATCTGCACACGTTGGGTTGACTCTTTTCTTTTGACGATATTCTTAGCATATGCTAAGAACATGATGCTGTTACAAAATGCTGGTTATCAAAATTAATCTCCAAAATAGATAACTTATTTATTTTGATAATTTCAAAATATTTTTCTATTCAACTACATAGAGATAATCAAATGAAGAAAATTCCCAAAGCCTGTGGAAACTATCCAACATTACAAAAAAATCAAAAATAAAACAACAGTCTCCTATTCAACTTATATAAACAAAGTAATTGTTCAACTTTACACAATCCTAAACAAGTCTTTTAACTGAAGACTAACTTTATATCTCTGGTCAGTGCAAAGTTTTGTAAATGCGTATATTACAAATATTTTCAATAACACATTAAAAACACTTAAAAATAAATAGCAATGTCTCCGTAAAATAATGAAACAAACATGAATGCCAAAGTGAAGACTAGATGTCATGCCATAGTCATTTGAAATAAATTGTATTGACACACATTTCACTTTGGAAAGAAGAAAGTCCATCTCTAAAAAGATGTTTGGAAACTTATAAGAAATGATCAGCAAATTTACCTTAAAATGGACGTAAATCAATGCTGTATACATTACTGCATTTTAGAATATCCAAAATGAGAATGAAAAAAGCAATATTTTCATTGATTTTTAGGAAATAGCATATGCTGTTGACAAATTCATATGTAAACTAGGATAATTCTAGTTCCAGGATATCGCTGAAATTATTTCTCCTTAAAACAGATGTGAGAAAAAACCAGCACTTGCAGCATTCTAGACCTTTCATCAGGCCTGATGAAATTAAACGCAGCAACATCATTTTCTTTTGAATGATGCATTCAGGTGTATGAGAAAGGCAGATGAAACACTTCTCAGAATGTTGTATCATAAATGAGTCGTAAATGCTTTGCTTATATTATGCCAAGCAGTAATAGCTTTAGGGGCCATGACAGTGTGATGGCCCAAGATACTGAGTACTGAAGATTCAAACTAGGGTCAAACTACCAGTATCCAGCAACTGTATTGCTGAACTGCTTGTGAACTTGAACAAAAGTATGAATATCTTGTTAGTGAAACCCATAACGTAAGAAAAACGGCACACTTGATAAAATGTTCAAGATTAATGGTCGATTTTGTTATGAATCCCATGGTTCTGACATGTTTTAAATATACTCCTTCCACACGGATAGAAGCTGAATGATCATTGTCCTGCTTTACTACAGATATAACCTTTCAATGTATAATCTGAAGGAAAGTTTAGGTTATTCGAATATGGCAAAGCATACCAGCTGTTGACCTGAAGAAGGATGCCTTTATGAACATTCTAAGGGAAACTGGCTTGTATTTGCATTACATATGAGGAAAACTAGAAAAAATCAACCATGCAGCCAGCCCTTTAACCATGATATGAACACAGATCAAACTACCAGTATTCAATGGTCTTAAGCACTAGTAGGAAAAATCTAACAAAATGCTTGCAATATCATGCAATCAGAAATTCACTAAATGTTGCACAGCAGGATTACTTTTTCAAGTGTCGAGGATGAGAATACTTAATTTTGTTTTGTTTATATAAGGTATTTGGTCATGGTATTATTCATTACATATATTCTCTGTTGTTCATACAGATACTAATATTTTAGTACATTTAAAAGTGTCTTTTTTTCATTAAGTGCTTTGCTTGTCAATATTCCCAAAATTGTGTTTCATATGTTAGGTGCTACTGTACATATAATAGATTAATGGATTCATTACAGAATAATACATTTCAAATATCCATTTTATGCAAGCAATTTTCAAAGTTATTTTTTGAATTTACTTGCTGATAGCTTAAAATATTTTATTTTGAAACAACTGCCTTTTTCACAATAAACTGGACATTGCCAAGAATCTTCAATAATATTCAAATCCTTTAGAGTAGCATTGTAAATAAAACTATAAGAACATTATACATTTTGTTATCTTTCAAAAGTCAAACTTTGATTAATTACTCAAAGCAGTGGTTTACTAACTTTGATGACCAATAAAAAATCTTAAAAAAATTTTTTTTTTAAAATCTCATCTCAGAGAACCAATAATACTTTTTTTTAATTCATTATTACTTCTTTATTTCTTTCTAATCATCTATCATATATAAACACCTAGCATCTTCTGAAAGGTAATTGCTAAGATACATTAAAAATATGTCAAATTTTTAAGCATGAAAAGTGATGTAATTCCTATTATTTTAGATAAAAATAAGAGTAATAAAAATAAAAACTTTAGTTAATTATTTAAAACCTTATATTATTGCGGCCCACGTTAATCATGTTTTAGGACTCGGGTACCCTATGGTTCTGAGTGTTTAGTCTTTTAATTATTAAGAACACAGTCATACTACTCTAAACAGGCGTGTTACCAATTATCAATAAGCCCCCCCCCTCCGCCGCAATTTCACCTGCTCATCCGGTAGTGATGCACCACCAGCCAGCGGCAAAACGGAGCACGCACAAAACATACGAGAACAGATTCGTTGTCTAAGCGTTTGAAGAATCAGGTTGCTACCTACGACCACCGAATTCGCCGGGTTACCAACTTTAAACTGTTATCGCCAATTTTGGCGATGTTTACATTTAACGGATCCTCTGCGGAAGTGCTTCCGAATTAGAAAAGGAAATACCTGATGAAAAGTCTGTAAAAACGAAACTTGTTACTTAAGAACGTTTAATGTATTTGATACTGAAATATTAAATTAGAAATTTTTTTCAGATGATCAGTTTGAAAGTGAATGGGCGAAAGTTG